TGAACCTGATGATTTAGGGAAGAGCTTGAAGATCACTGTGAACTGAGGACTGGAGTGACTGATGCTGTAGATACACTTTGTACCAAGGAAACTGCATTTATCTGCAGGTCTCTTCTCAATTATGCCATTAAGTTTATGAAAGTAGTCTGTTGGAACTGTGTTTCAGCTTCAACTAGCCATCTTCCACATGCAACTGAATCTAACGTGGGGGTGTTCTGATGTTGTCCATACAGTGAGGAACAGAAGGTGTTTCACCTCATCACCATCTTTTCCCAGGCAACCAGCAACAGGACAAGAGGCCAGAGTCTTAAGCTGCAGCAGGGGAAGTTTAGGCTAGGCATTAGAAAAATGTTTTTCACAAAACAAGTGGTTCAGCTTTGGAATGGGCTGCCCAGGGAGGTGGTTGAGTCACCATCCCCGGTAGGTGTTTAAAAAACAATGGATGTGACACTTAGTGCCATGCTTTAGTTGATAAGGTGGTGTTAGGTCATAGGTTGAACTTGACAATCTCAAAGGTCTTTTCCAACCTTAATTATTTTGTGATTCTGTGTACCTGAATCCATGGCACCTGACCAGCAAACCTGAAGGCTACATGCAGCTTCTGAGAACAGTTTTGAGTAGCAGCATTTGATGCATCTAGAAAAGAATGCTCTCCAGTGTAATTCACAGGATGTACCCCCTCTACTGTAATAGCAAGTCTGTGGCTTTGGTCTCAGCCACCAATTTCAGATGAAGTCATAATATAGCAACAGAGCTGAGTGTTGTGGGGAAATTAAGGAGGTTGAAAATCAAAGTCTTTGCTTCTCTTTTTGGCAGAAAGAGATCATCCACCTAGACTTTCTAACTTTGCTTATATTCATGTTCTTTCCATCATTATTGCTGTATTTTGAACCTGAAGGAGATGATGGAGGTGCTTTTCTCTAAAGATGCTGTATTAGTTTTCCTCAGAATGAGCACCAGTACTTTCTTGGCTCATGTAAGAGGCCAAAATTGTATGGCCTCTTAAATAGAGGAGTCAAGGTTTGGAGTCTTGACTAATTGCTGAACCATCAGGCAAACATGGCTTCCAGTGTAATCTGGATCTGATGTCCAAGAGGATTGGGACTGCACCATGGTCTGTGACGTTATGGACAGAGCTGTGGTCAACCTAAGCTTCTGGCTAGCCTTCCCTCATAGAGTAGCCCTGATCTTGCTGTTTCATTACAAGCACGCAAGTTGTCGCTGCCTTCCTGCTTGGTTTTGATGGACATTCTGCTTGCATGAAACAGCATGACCCCCTGGCAGGTTCTTGAAGGCTCAGCATGTGTTTCCTGCCGTTTCTACAGCTCTAGAGCAAGTTTGAGGGTGTTTTCACCTGTCTGAATTAGTTCTTATTCTTTGCTGTAACCATACAAAATCTTTAACTTCTTCATCTGGTCCAAGATGTCAAAGAAGCAAGACAAAAATGAGCTGGTTAATGGGGAAGAAAAGGCACTGGCAAACCATTGCACCAAAGGCTAAAGCATGTGTGTAATACTTAAGGAAATAATGATCCTTGGGTCTAGATATTGAAGTAGAAAGAGATTTAAATTCAATCCCTACCTTTGACTCTAGGCCCACCTACATGTTTTCTTGGTTGGCAATCTCAGCTTAAGAAGTTCCCACCCCCTCACCACAAATACATGAATGAATTCAAATGAACTTGTCTTACCTGAAGTGTTCCTTTTTGCTTTGAAGTGCAGATGAAGGGAGAGCTCCTGACTTGCCTAGTTCTGTGTTACTCAGACCCATGGTCTGTCTTATCTCAGAAGACTATCAGTAAGTGGAATCATTTTAGTAATTCAGTTTGACAGGATTCCACAAGCAGATGTAGCTGCACAAATTAGGGCTGATAAACTGAAGCATGTACATTAGAAAAAAAAGGGAATCAGTTAAATGAAAACTTTCTAAGTGCTTTGTTACAAAGAAAACATGGATATTTAGATCTCTGTTTTGTCACTTTACCTTCTAAGGTCTCAGTGTTGTGGCTGTAAAGTGACATGGGGAATTGGCTTTTAATGTTTCATCCTTTGATTTTACAGCAAGTTCTTACAGGTTAAGTTAAAAATTCTGGTATTTCTGCCCCAACAGAAGTTAAACTTGTAAGACACTCTGATATCCTCATTTGTTGTCAGTTCTTTAGAGTTCAATTTAGCCTTTCCTCTTGAACCTAGGCTCTTTTTTTTTACATATGCTTCTATTTTGTGTTTGCTTTGCTTTATTTTTAGCAAAATTGCAGCTGGCTTTTAGTTCGATGCACTGTCTGGTTTCTTCTGGTGAAATTCCAAGAAAGGAAGCCTTGGGGACAGACAGCTACAGTCCTTCCAGTCTTAGAAGTATTTTTGCATGGATCTCACCCATTCTGCAAGGGGACAGAAGCCTTTTAGTCCAGATCAAAATTTCCAGTACTTCTTTTGCCCCTTAGCTTTCCTAAATCTTTTTCATCTCTTGGCCTACAAAAGTGAACTCTCCCAGACACACAAATTTTCTTTTCCTTTCTCTAGCGAGTTTCAAAGGCAGGTAGATGTCTCTTGCTAACCCTGGTTACTGACACCAGGGAGCTCTGAACTCCAAGAGAAGCATAGAAAGGAACACTGCCAGAGAAAAATCTTCCACTGATATTAATTTGAAAATAATCCCTGCGTAAGTGTCCCAAAATCAGCTGTGCAAAGATTTCCTCTGTTCCTCAGCCTGTTGGTTCATGTTTACTGCCTTGATAACATCCTATAACTTTGCTTAATGTGGTTTTATTAATGATCAAGTAATGGACCCAGTGAACTTCTAGGGCTCATCTTCAGGGACTCACTTCCATAGGGTCTGCTGTTGTGGTGTAAACCGGCAGTGAAAGCATGCAAGGCACCAAGCTAATGTTTGCAGGAGAATACTAATACACATCATAAGAAATTTTCCATTGCTGGAGACTTTCTCTGTACAGGCTTAATTTCAAAACATTGTTGTCTCCATTGGCCAAAAATACTTTTCCCAAGGGTCAGTCTTTTTTCTTATTAGCAAGGTTTTATTTGATTTGTTGCCTGCTCCACACATGGTTCAGAGATCAGGAAGGAGATTGCACAGGGCTGAAGCAGGCAGGTGCATCCATCAGCAATGGACTGTAGAGAGCTGTTGCCATTCATACCTATGTGGCCAGCTGGAGGAGCTGCCTGGTTTGCAGAGATGTAGTTGGTCACCTGGCTGGGACTAGCAATAACACCCAATGGATGGGCAAGGGCAGCCTATGCTTGCATGGATTTTTCATGTGTAGCACAGAACAGCAGGTATTTCAAGATGCTTTGTTTTCTAGGTGTCTAAAGTACTTGGCTCATCTTTCTCCAGGCTTGACAGATTCTGGTTACCAGCCATGCAGATCTTAAGGAAAGCTGCTGGGATCTTGTGTGTCTGTATTAGTTATGAAATCCATTCTTGAAGGTATTTCCTTTGTCTTGGAGAGAGCAGGCAGAGCTGGAAACTGGTGTAGATTTTGCTTAATAGGTGCAAGCAAACTTTCTGTTCTTGACCATCCACTTTTGGCTCCTGCACAGAGAAGGTTAACAGCACTAGCCCTGCAAGGTCCTTAAAAATAGGCTCTGAGAATGCAGCATCTGCAAGATTGGGGGGAAAAAATTTATGGAGCACTTTTCCCATAACAGGAAACAAGCCATCCTTCTCCAGCTCTGACTTCATGGCATCATTTTTGCTATCCTCCTTACCCTTGTCCTTTTCTTCCCATGCTTCAAAGCACAGGGTATGCCTGGTGAAGACTCATCCCTGCCAGGGACCTCCCACATGCAAATGGAAACCCACACTTTTACAGTTAGTTACAACAGATCAGCTGGCATGCCGTCCTTAATGAGGAAGCAAGTCAATTAGTCCCCCTTCCACATTAAATTGATTGTCCAGGCCACATGACTCTGCCTGGCCATCTAATAAATTTCCTGTTCACCCGCTGCCAAAGCATCATGCAAACCACCCCTTTCCTCAGAGCAACCTGAATGGCTGCATCTTTCCCCCACATCAGCAGCATTGTGGGGACCAAGATTATTGCCTCTCAGTGACTCCTCTCTGAATAGACAACCTCAGTTCACAAGTAAAGGAGAAAGGCTGTGTTTGATTGCCTTGGAAACAAAGAAAGCTAAGCTGTTTTCACTCTTCCCTCTCATTCTTTTTCTCCAGTTTGCTCACCAAATGACATCCTGTGCAATACTTGTGCATCTCACTGTCTGCAACTAACAGGTGGAATAAGTTGACTTCTGTGAACAATTATTTTGCTGGTGCACAAGAGCACAGACTGGCTCACTGAGCACTGGTAGCTGTGCAGGGAGAACAGAAGCAAAAGCAGCAAGAATTATTTTAGTCTGTCAAGTCATCAGACTTGATACATAGAGGAAATCTACTGGGCAAGACAACATGATTTAACATACCAAATTTTCTAAGCATAATTTTATTTAAAACACAAAAGAAAGATTGGTCTCTCACTATCATGCATGAAAGTGAGGGAAGAAGAAACAAGCCTCTAACAGAGCGAGGCTGAATGAGCCTGTGACTGCACAACTGCTGATGTGGACAGGCAGTTGTGCAGGATATATGTGCAACCTCTACACACAGGCAGATGACCATGTATATCTAATATCAATGTATGGTAACCACATCTCTGCATGCGCTGGCTTTCAAATGAATGTATATGAGTGCACACACTCAGACCAGGTGTAGCAGGAACACTTTCAACCTGTTCATATATGATCAGAGTTGTGGAAGCTGTTGCTATTGCCACTGCCCCACCTGTATGCTCAGGTGCATATGCTCCTTTTATGTGTGTGATCACACCCTGCATGTGCACTGTGGGAACTGCTTTTCACAGGATGCTGATTGTGGTGAGACCCTAAAGCAGTCATTTGCCTGTTTCCTTGACGCCAAGGAAATTTTTCCCATTTGCAAAAACCTGGAGATGGAAACTTCACTCTATCAATCACAAACCAGCTCAGAGGTACTCTTCTGAAAATACACAATATCTGCAGTTTATTTTTCAGTTTGGTTTGGGAGGGGGCAGGGGATGTTCGAGCACAGACTTTTTTCTTAGACATGCATTCCATGGACAACTCAGGGCAGAGAGTCTCTAGTCCTTCACCAGCCGGTAGATGTGATGTTGGGCACCGTGGTCACTAGTTGATACTTCAAAAACATATGCTATGCACAGCAAGGTCTCCTGTGTGTCCCTGTTTGTCACAACCTAGACAGAAAAAGAGAAGAAGCTGAAATAGCAACTGCTATTTCTCTGCTTACATATTTCGACACATTTAACATAAAGCAGAAAGTCAGTAATAGACAAAGAACAGAGAAGTGCAGGATCCATACACAGCTTGGCCCACAAACCAAAGCATTTTTGCAGCCTCAGAACTACAATGCAGTGAAGAGACAGGGAGATGACAAAAAATTCACTGTGAGGAAAAGTCCACTGTGGCCAAGAAGGGTTCACATCACTGGGATGCAGGTTCTCTGCTTCCCACCCCTGATGTTGCAGATTTCAGCAGTGAAAGCGTTCTACTCTGAAAAAAGCTCTTCTTGCTCTGTTTGCTGGGTACAGAGGAGCCCCCTCCTGTGGCACACCCACTCCTGTTCACACATATATTGATATATCACAACCACAAACAGTTGTTTTCCTTCTGCTCCTGCTTGTCATTGGTAGACACGAACATGAGGATTTAATCCATGAGTATAACTCCTATTACAGGAGACTTACAGATTTGACTCCATTACACCTCCCATTCCATACACTGTAGATGTTGGGAGAAGGATGGCTGCTACACTCATGCATTCTTACAGAAGCTCGTTTTCTCCCATTTTTCTCCTATGGCCCTTCAAGACCCTTTAGCATCTCTACAACGTGACTCTGTCAGCAGCATGGTGAAGGAGCAGTGTTGTCCTAATTTCTGCAGCATGCACTAGGTGGCAGAGACAAGAGAAATATTGCTCTCAGAACTCCTAGCTCAGCTTCCCTCTCTCTGTCACTGCACAACTTTGCACGTTCTTGTCACCTGAGTTTGTGCCATAGCTAAAGTTCTCTCCTGCTGCAGGAGAGATTTTTATAAGCAGCAGCACAAACTCAACTGCAGAAGAAAACCATTCCAGCTGGAGGCTTGAGCTGTACCAAAGCCCAACTGTTCTTGTGAAAAGAGGAAGAAAATAGCTGTTTTCAAAATTTCCTACTAATTTTAAAAGTCTTATTTTGGTCTGTTTTCTTTTCTTACTTCATGATTGGATTTGCAGTTGAAGTCCTTTCTTCTGAAAGATGTGGTGACTTATACACATCCAGGTGTGCTAAGGCACTGGGCCCTTATCTGAAAAATGGGCTCTGAAATCTTGGGAGTTCTAGATCCAGAGAAATGTGCCAAGCAAGATAAATTATGCTTATGGGATTAGCGGTATTCTAAGCACATAAAAGGGATTATAAAAAAATATAATTACACTTGCCTCAAAGGTGGTAGTGGGAACTGAGGACTACCAAAATGCCTGACATTATGTACTTTTCAGCTCCACAGTGGGGAGTGGGAAATGCTCAGGCTGCTGCTCAGGGAGCAGCACTTTCATCTTGCAGAGCACTGCAAGGTAGTCCCACCTGAGACATGCCTTCAGTGACAGAAGATAAGGGAAGCACATGAGATTTCTCAAAACATAAAGCCCCTGAGGAAGTATAACCATGTGACAGCTTTTTTCTTAGAATTTATAGGAAATGCTGGCTTGACTGAGGAATGAAACATGCAGAAGGCAGCTACAATGTTCTCCAGTATGGATTACAGTACACATGTCGTCCATCTCTGTCTCTGCCCTTCTCATGCTTTTGCTCATCTAAAAGAACTCTCAGCATTTATACTCCTCATTTCTTCCAGATGTTTAAGATCTTAATACAAGCATGAAAGAGTAAACTTAATGCTCTGTGACGTATATTAACCTTGTGTTTATAGCTGATGTGTCTGAGCCACAGAGCAGTGAAATGAGTTGCCTGCAGTTATCAAAGATCTTCAGAGAATGGAATGAAAACCACTTTGATGTCCAGTCTTTCATACAGCTACCAGCATCTCTTCTACTTACCCAGCCTCATGTTCTCTGGGCAAAGATCTGTGATGTCTCTTACTGAGGTGAACACAGAATTCAGTCTGTTAGAAAAATCCACCTTTTAAGCTGTCTGCCCTCTTCCCTCATTTAGCCTGCATCTGAGCCTGGAAAGTCTCCCAGTATAACAAAACACTAATGGAAATCTAATTGCTGTAGCCTTGCAATCCTGACCTATCTAGAGGTTGCAGTGATTCAGAAGGTGTCAGAATTTCCCCACAACTCCTTTGCATGTCTCCATATTCTGTAAAGGTCCTGGATGGTCCTGAGGAAACAACTGTCTTTCCCCCCTAATATGGTCAGTGAAGAACTCTTCCCACAGAAAAAATTTATAGCCAATCAACAGTGCTCTTATGTGGTTCTTTACCTTGCAAAAAGGGCCAGGGCCTCAATATTTGTGAAATAGTGGAATGAGCATTTCCTTCACTGACTTTTTCATCATTCCCCTTGTTTTGCCTCTCTGTCTCATGAGCTCTCCCTTTATTTTTCTTTTTATCTCTCTCTTACCCAGGTCTCTCAAATTCTTTTGCTGCTCCTCTGCATGAGTTACCATCCCTAGAGCTCCATAAATGGTCTTGAAGTGCAATACACATGAAAGATAGTAAGTTCAATTAGTTGCTGAGCTATAAAAAGCAGATTTCCACCTGCTTTGACTCTCAACAGTGAACTCCTGCATGGTCCTTACATGTTGCCAAGTTGCAACAAAAACAGCTGAAATTCCTACCTGTAAGATAGTGAAGTTCTCCAGCACACTGTTCATCATGTACTTCTCGGGAAGGTGCTTGAGTTTATGGATGAAGTTGATCATGTATTCGCAGAGAGGGGAGCGGTGGATGCGGTAGGAATAGTGTCCGTTTTCATAGCGTGCATACTCTGTCTGCAGGGAGAAACACAAAAGGGACACATGGGGCTATGCTGGCACACCAGTGACACTATCACAACACGGGACTCAAAACAGAAAAATTACAGTGGCACTTTCAAATAATTTTATGAACAGTGACCACAGTACTTTGCACCAAGGTCAGCCCTCTTGAGTCCTCAATTTCTTTGGCTTGATTTCTTGTTTTCTTTAAAATGGTGGGTTCCAGCTTCTGAGCAGCAAACCCTCAATGCACTGTGAAAGGTAACTAAGAGGAACATACCAATTGACACCTACACTACAGTCTGCATCTCTACTGGAAAAATACTAGGTGTGAATAAACGGAAAAAGTTAATAACTACTGTTTTAGCAAGACCAGGAAGAGCATAGATACTATGCTCAGGAGGCTTTATAGCTAAAAAAGGCTAAAGCCTTCTGGTACCTGTGTGAGAGAATATAGAACTTATGCCCCCCACTTAAGAAAGGGTCTTGCCAATGATACACAGAGGGATTTTTTTGCTCACATTCACACCTTAGCTCCTGTATATATTATCTGCCTTTGAAGAGAAACTGAGTCCATAATCTATGGTTTCACAGCAGACCCTTAAATGCCTATAACCTTCTTTCACCCCAGAAGCTTAGTCTTCTTCCATGTGCACCATGACATCTTCCTTTAGCCCCTCTATCCCTCTGCAAACACTTAACTTCAAGCATGCCTACTATCATGTGGCTAGAGATCGGCTTTGGGGAAAGATGCACCTTGTACTGACTGCTGACATGAGAACAGCTGGTGTTCTGCACATAGATGCTTCTGCATCCTAAGGTTCCTTGAGAAACAGGGCAGCAGGAGGCATGTCAAAGCAGCTCTCTTAGCAGCTGAATGTGGAATCAAAAATAATTTCTTCAATGTCAGTTCTATGCATAACCCAGTTATTTGCAGTTGCTCAAGCTGTAAGTGCATAAGCTCTAGGTCTAATACAATCGTAAGACTAGTCTGTAAATTTATTACAGTCAAATTAATAGCTATAGTCTAGAAATGATCTGTTTACAAACACTGGTGAGAGTGAGGTGTTGCTTATATGTTTTCATATTTCTGGACTACAAAACACATTTATGTTCCCTAGCTTTCCTTGGCTTCCCAAAAAACCCCAGAGAATCGGCAGAGCTAAGAGTCATACATATTTACTTCTCCTCAGAAACTGAGATTTAATTGAAAAGTAGTAAACAGTAGCAGATCTTCAGTGAAATCCTAAGACAAGCATTTTGCAGGCTGAGTGATCTTATTTCTATGGCATCTATCTCCCTGAAAAGAAGCATGAGATGTATTTTGCCTTGAGATCCAATGGCAGGATGCAAATACTTTAAGAGACAAAATGGCAGCCAGAGGAAACCTTGCACCCAGATGTCTGCTCCTTACCTCTACTTTCTCTACCACCTGCTTTCCAAAGGAACACACTTTGGTGGAACAGGTAATGACCATGTTTTCTGGGCTCTCATACTGGCTGGAAACACCATAGAAAGATCTGGATTCATCTTCAATATTGGTATTCAAATCAGCCTGCCAAAAAGAAAAGAAAAAAAAAATCAATAGATGGTTGTGGCATTTTCTCACCACTACCTTGCATAGCAGACAAATGTGCGTTGAGCAAGTGGGAGAAATCTGAAGAGTACTGAATAAAATCCTATTTCCACTTCAAAAAATGGTGTGGCTTTGCATATACATTGGGGAAATCTGCTGGAATATCCTCCTAACATGAAAAACCTATGACATAGCTTGGCGGGACTCACAAAGCATGTGGAGAGCAGACTGCAGAGTCAAGAGCAGTGCAACAGACAGGCTGGACTGGGCTGACTCACCAGGAAGGAAAAAAATGGTAAAGCAATAACAATAAAGTTTTTCCACCCTAAGAACATAGGTAAGGGAAAAGAGACAACAGGGAAAAGGAATGTGTGAGTACACACACATGTCAGGCTCAGGTACTACAAATGTAAATAGACAGGATGCAACATAAGGAATGTAGATTACTGATGGATACAGCCCAGTTACACCTGAATTCAAACTCATCTCCAATAGCAGCCACAGTTTTCAAATGTGTGTGCCTAAGGCTGGCCAACTGAAGCCTCCTGTTGGGACAGAGCTCCTAAAAATCCTGACTGTCTGAAACTTCCACCAGGGGTCATTCCAACCGCAGCTATGAAACAAGTGGCAGTTCCCTTAAGCTCTAGAAACACTAGTGTGTGGGAATGCCCAGCTCAGCTTTCTCCCCCTCAAAACTGAAAGGGCAGAGCTTCTCTGTGCTCCACAAGCCCATGTGCTAATTCACATCAGCGTAAAGCAAGGATTAGTTCCCATACGCTGCTCCAGAGCATTTTATTCTTCCAGTTGAGCTAAGGGAAGAGGAAACTGAAGAACATGTGTTCCTGCTACAGTGGACACAGTGTGACTAAGACAGCATTAGATGCCATTCTAGCAGCATTTTCTTAACCAATATCAGTGAAGAGTTTTTTATTTGTGATCTAGAGCAGCACTAAGGACAAGCAATGTGGTAGAACTGGACCACCACAATAATGAATACTCCTCTTTCTTTGCCATGCAAAATACCTGCCTCTTAAGTGCCACGAGATAATAAATACTGTTATCTTAGTTGTCTTAAGGAGCAACTTCTCCAAAGGTTTAGGTCAGTCTAGAAAGCGACAGTCAAGTTTTCTCTCCTTCTGTAGACACGTGAGCTTGCTGCTGCCTTTGTGACACCACAGAAGATGAGGGCACAAAGATTGCCTATTTTCATAGCAACACATACTTGGGTTGGCTTGAGTCTCTTGAGAAACTGCACCTCAGAGCTGTAGTTTGGTGATGCCAGGCTGGTCCTGACCCCAAGAGACAGCAGTCTTAGTTTTCCAGAGCAGTTTGTGCTTCCCCATTCCTGCTGTACTGACACACATCTCTGTAGCTGCATTACAAGGCTCACTGAGGAATTGCTCAGTTAGTTCTCAGTGGGATCAGTTCCCTGGCCTGATTCAGAAACACTTGTGTGTGTGTTCAAACAAAGAACGTGTTGGGAAGATGGGTGGCAACAGGGATAGCAGAAGGCAGGACAGCTTATTCTAGTGAATTATTATGGCCATGCTGAAGACCTTAGTATTAAATAACTGTAGTTATGCAGCTACTTTCTTTGTACCACAAATGCACCTGGTATTAGAGAACAGCAGTATTATTCCATTCTGGTTTACTGTAATACTGTACTTTAATACTGTAATACTCACTTCCATGTCAATGCAATCAATTGTATTGTTTATTTCACCCACACTCCAACTGTCTAAATAAAGATTAACTTCTTCACTTGTCCAGAGAGGACCTACACTAGGAGTCCTTCACAATATTTTTCTGCTATTTCCCTTGGGAGTGATAAACACAATGTATAGACTTGATTCTGCTCTTCCAAAGAAATTCTCCCACTGAGTCAAAAAAGAACAAAGGGTTAAGGCTACAGAGACTTGGTCAGGCCACTGCTACATAAACACAGCAAGACGCTCTCATTGCAGAACCAGACAAACATTTTCAGGGTTTCACTAGTTAGTAAAGTTAAGATTACATTCTCTAAAAGATTCACTGGTAAAATTAAAAAATAAATACACTCAATACGAGGCAAAGAAGAAAGGTGCTAGTTCCACTTCATGAGAAAAGTTTCACTAGCCCTAAGAAGCCACTCTAAGTGCATCCGCAATTTGACAAGCCTCCCACCAGAAGGCCAGACTAGAATTTCACAGCAAATTAACATCTAAATAATCAACATTAATGGCAAAACTACGATAATACTGTTTGAATTAAGGAGTTGTCACCATTCACTGACATTATGTACTATCAGGTATCTGGAAGCCCTGTTGCAGTAGAGCAGCAGGATCATGTTGGAACTCCCTCACATTTACACTGCACATTTTATTCTAAAGCTTGTCCCGTATTATGGGCTATGACGGTCAGATATGGAGTGATCAGTCACCAGGAACTATGTACTCACCTCCTGTTACCTTTGCAGATCTCACAAACATACATACAGGGAATTTCAGCAACTCCAGGGAATGACAATAGCAGTTTGCTGAGGGCTCCAGTTCATGATTGCAGGAGAATGCAGCTGGAGCACCCCAGACACTGCTGGTCTTAGACTTACAGCTTTTCCACTTATTTACAGCTGCTGGTTCCCACCTTCTCTAGCAAGGCACTGCCCCCGTACCAAAGATTATTGAGCACACACATATCTGCTCTTGAACTACTTGCGACCTGGTTTATACATGTGAACTGAAAACAGCAATGGTGTACATGAATACAAGACCAAGGAACAACACAAAAGTGGAACTCCAATCTCTTAGCTTTCCCTGCTGTGGAGATGATTACCTCCTGAAGGGAGGGAGACAAGGCAGAAAATTGAGGAAGAACAGTGTAATCTGTCATAGCCAAATTAACTTCTAAATGTCAACCGGACACTGGGATAATTCACAAAAGGGTGCAGTTAAACTTCTCAGGATTGCATGAGGACAAGACCGCAGTGACCAAAAGAGCTACTGCATTTAGCTTAACATCTAAAAACACTGTGGCCTTCATGCCTAGATTCCTGTGAGCTCCTCACAACACCTAGACCATCAGGACTACATTGCTTCTCAACAGAAGACCTTGTGTCAGAGCACATTCAGTCCTGGAACAAGTACCCAAGGTGAGCAGACAGGTCTGACTTACTGTGTTCAGTACATTCCACTGTGAAAAGACACAAGGGAATAATAGTGACTATGATTCAAAGGAAATTCATCTTCCCAGAATTCCATCAAGCAGGAGAGCTAATCTTCACTTTATAGTCTGGGAATGCATAGAATTTTTTAAAATGTAACTGGATGTGACTAGAACCCAGGTGTCTCAACTCCTCTCTGGCAAATGCCCTAGTATGTCCAACAACAAATTAGATGGTCTTAAATATATTCTTACCCCAGCCTAGGCAGCCAAAGGAGACACAGGCAGGATTTAGGAAAGTCTCACTAAGAGCCCCCTGGGGGGTGAGCTGCTTGGCCCCCCCAAGCTCCTACTTGCCACTGGCTAGAACAGGGTGGGACTGCAGGGGCAGCAATAGCATTCAGGCTGTTGGGTGGTGTCCAGCATTCAAACAGCTGTTCTCAGTCTCTCTTACAGGCAAAGGTAGAAGATCAAATAAACAAGGCATATTACAAGCTAAATCTGAGTTATGAGCCACCAGCTGGACCATACTACTTTATCTGACAAAATCAGGGTTCTTGTTTTCTGTCCCACAAGTTCCAAATGTAAAAACCTGTGCATACTCTGGCATAGCAGAAATCTGATGTGTCTGGGATGTGTTCAACTTGCTGTGCAAGCTCAACACAGATGACACACTTATCCATAGCTTACCTGATGAATTCCAAACATGCTGAAACTAGAGTCACTGAAGATATCTGCGATATAGCACATCCCAGATATTCACATACTGCATACAAGAGTGAATCTGCCTGCTTGGGGGGGAAAACATCTGCAATTTCCTCCTTTCCAGAGAAGTAAGCAGAAAAAAAGAAAAGACTTCCAGATGGAAGAGAAGGGATTTATTCTGGGAAGAGCATAGTAGCCCTCCACAAGTTGATATGCTCCTCTCTCCCCTCCATCTCTGGAAAAGACTCTGAAAATTCCTCAGCAATTCAATCTTTCAATCTGCCTTTTGCTGCTAATAATTTCTACACTGTTGGAACACTGTGGGGGACAACTTTGGTAGAAGAATTGCCATTGGCAGATTCCCCTTACATAAGGCAGCAACTGGAGGTGGTGCTGGTGATGGCAAATGGAATTAATGTGTGTAAAAATCATAAAATTCTATGTTTCTAGCTGCTGTCTTGTTTGCTGTCTGAGGAGTACCAGAACAGAATGAACATGGAGACCAAATTGCCATTTCTTGCTCTCCAGGCAGTTCCATGATTGAAAGCATCCAGTGGGCAAGGCAGGGTGCTGAGGGCAATTTACACTGCTGCTGTTTTGACTGGATTTGCTTATGACAGGAGAGAAGCCAGGTGCAAGACAGCAGTTTCCAGCCCACCCCTTCAGCACCTTCCCACAAAAGTATATTCCATTTAGCTGAAAGAAGCGCTCAGATGCTCAGAAGATTGCTTGCCTATCACCAAGAAGAAATTACTACATACATTCTTCACAGGCAGGACAAGAAATTCCCATGATTCATGTCTCTGAAGATGGGTGCTCTGTGCAAAGTACTACCTGTCCTGAATTCCTGGTTTGTCATCTTCCTTCTTCCATGCAGTCTCACAACTTCTGAAAGTTCCAAGATGCAAGTGCACCATTCTACTAACGTGCAAAGCCCTGAGAACGCCTCTTCCCCAAACTATTAATAACAATCCATGGAGGAGGAGTTCATGGGGAGAAGCAAGGAACAGGTGGCAGAGATAATATTAGCCAGGAAAAGAGCAGGGCTGCCACTGCCCATGTGTTGAGAGGCTGATGCCACACATTCATTGTCGTGTGCTAGAATGCATTTGGAGCACAGAGAAATGTCACACAGATGTCATACACGACTTGCCAGTCCAAGTCCAAAAATCAGTTCATTGTACCAAATTTTTGATGCCAAAATCAAGGAAGAATTGCAAACACTGCAACACTGCCTACATTTCAAACTCATCAACTTTTAACTCTTAGCTATTGTATAGATAGTTTAAAGCACCTTTGAACGAATGTGAACATCTCTTTCTTAGTCATACTAGATCCTCAGTGCTACCACTAAGGATGCTTGTTTAAAATTAGGTCTCTGGTACACAACAGATCATCTGGTATATTCAATGTTTACTGTAGCAATGGCAGGTTGATGCCTCAGGTTCTTCAAGCCTAAAACTGCAGATACACAACCCCAACTTACTCATTCCTTGCTTTGTTTAAAGTCTTTGTCACCTGCAACCACAACTGCAACTCAGAACCTCTGAAAAATCAATCACCATGTCTCAAAGCATCCTTCAAGTATTTAATTCTACTTACCATTTTATGCTAAAATGATGCTGTAAATTCAACGGTGTAGTAATTGCTTTATCCAATACATCTTTGAACATCAACAGTATATTTGTACAGTTGTCCAGAGGTATCAGGAAGCATAATAAAAAAGCACCCTAGCACATACTGTTACAAAAGTATCAAAATGTAGAGGGATATAAAAATTTCTGCTGAAATCTAATTTCCTTCCTTTTTTTTTTTAATCAAATTGCCTTATTTGTGCAAGGTGTTTATTTATTTGCTTCTTAAAAGTCTTACAAGCTTCTATTTAACTAATGACTTGACTTCTAAACTTCGCCTGTTTCTACATGACAAGCTGTAATGTTGCCACCAATAAAACCTGATGCTAACTCCAGATGGGATTCAACGATGCAAGGGTACCAAAAAAAGTATCAGACAGCCCAAGTATTAAACCAAGCCCAGAAATATTTCTGTCCTTTTAAGTACAGAGTTGTAGAGCCCCACAGCATTGTGCACACATTGGAGTAAAGCTGTTTCGAATCCTGTGTCACATCTCTTTAATCAAGCCAAATTGCAGTGAGCTGATACCCTCTGAACACCTCACATGGGAGCGGAAGAAACCCAACTTGATGACATGCCACCATCTAAATCTTCCAAAACCCTGACAGAGGTTAGTCTGACATGGTGCGTAGGGCACATTTATACTTCTGATATTAAAAACCAAGTTATCACAATCCCCAAACTGAATCACAAAAGCAGAATAGCACACTGTCAATTTTGATAGATAAAATCACAGTTGCACCAGATCAAAATTTCATTATTTCTCTCTCTAAAAGTCAAGGAGTTCAAAGTGATTCATTCTCTCTGTGTAACACCTCCCTCTAAGCCCTTCCTTTTGGTTCTTGAAAAAAAAAGAACAAAAGGCAATCAATACCTTTCAAAATACCCTGTCAAAGGATAAACTTCTCAGCAAGGTGCTGTTTTCTCTCCCAGCCAGAACAGAGCTGATCTTCCACCTTTTGTTTTGAGCACCCCAGGCAGGCTTTGTTGTACTTTGCCAGGAGCTAATCCCATGAAGGGCCCAGCTCAGCAGCACAGAGACTGCAGGTAATAGAATTGTATGTCCCCAAAAATTATCAGCAACCAACACTCTAGGCACAGGCACTTGAGAAGAAGACTCCCAGCCAGCATTCTCCAACTCATTTCTGGAAAGGCTAGGCTTGGGACAGCTGGGAAGTTGCATCTCAAGGCACTTAACTCTTCTTTCTGAAAGCAACAGTCAGGAGGCTTTTTAGTGGCACTTTGTATGAAGGGAATGAAATATAAAAGCTCATTTTTCATCATCTCACTCTGACTTCAGGTTGAATGATGTGGTAAACTCCTGAAAGGCTCCAAATCCCATTACACATTCCCTCAGCCGTCTACTGTACAACTGCCCTGAGCTACTATTATTTTTAATTTCATAATTCTTATGATAATATCGATCACCAAAGCTATTTTGTTTGTACCTTGAAGCACAATGGCACAGGTTTTGAAAATTTCAGTTAAATCACAAAAATCCAAATTGAGTGAGTAAGCTTTTGCCAGACTGATTTCTACCAATTTACCAGAAGTTATTTCAGTAATATATTATCAGCATAATCCAATTTCATTATATTTTTCTCTTATCTTTTGCTTTGCCAGCAGTAAGTATGCATCTGTAAATTATTAGTACTTGGATAACACAAAATGCAGCTACAGGGACAGGAGAAGAGATGGAAAAGTATTCCTTCTGGCAGAGGAGTTACACAACACTGAGAGAAGTGAATGCATAAGATTATGCAGAGAATAATTTCCTCTGAATTCTTTACTCATACATGAATAAAAATTCTAGAGGGTCCAAGTCACCATTAGCAAATCTGCAGACAGTAGTCAAGAACAACTCTACGGATGGGCAAGGTGAAAGATACATCTTGCTGCAGGCCAAAAAGTGTGCCTTGTGGGGTTAAGGGAAGATCTTATGAGGTCAATAAAAATGACAGTTGTTGCTGTATTAAGTTGCCTACACAGGGAAAAATTTGTTGTGAGACAGCAGTTTTCTAACAGCCAGGGAGGACACAGCTTTAAAAGTGACAAACTTCATAGCAAATGGGTACCCTACAAAGGGCCCTTCCCTTACCCAGAATTTGACAAGGAAGAAGGCATTAGCTGGCCCCCTTTCAAAGAGCTCCTTCAGGCCCCCTTTCTTCTCAGGGAACTTGTCATAGATCTGCCGGATATCCACTGCCTCGAGGTAGGGGTCATTGTAGCTGGGGCTTGACTGCCCAATGTGCACAAACAGGTGTTTGTTATACTGCAAAAAGAGGAAAAACATGGAATTAGAGAATTGTTCAGTACCATCAGTACATACTGAACATCCATTGTCCTTCACAGAAGACTGCTGGAAGTCAATGAAGATTTGATAGAGTTTGCTAAAAGAGCAGAAGAAATCAATAGAAATATCTCTGCTAACACCAGCTCATGCTGTTCTTTCCTTCCTATCAATACATTCATGCTTCTTCCTTCTCTGAAACACTGGTTTTGGATTTTTTCTTCCTATTTTCACTGCTAAATCATTGCCTTGCGCTGCCATATAGTCTGCAAAAGCCTGAGACACAGAGTGTTACCTGTGACAGGTCACTCAGTCAAATATCAATGCTCATGTCCTATGAAAAGCCTGAAATCCTACAGCAGATAAATCCCAGGCAAATAATACTATCTTTTCTGAACTTTCCTATCTCAGTCCATCACCAGAGCACATCTCAAGACAGAGAATCAAAAGGTTTAGTGAGAGAAGCAAATCTTAGTACTTCCATTTCACTGTGGAAACAGTGATTAATGCAAATTCATCACAGTTGCCACCAATTTTAAGTTCTCAGCACACCAGAGAAACACATGGCTTTCTGTGATCCTAGGAACTTCTGATTTTGGATTCTATACTGGAGTCTATATTACAAGGCTGGACAGGACAGCCAGAATAGCCTGGCAAGGGCTTATGACCTCAGTGCCTTGGGCTCTGGTGAATGAATGCCTGTGACCCTAGACAGGGAAGCCAGAAGCACATTGCACAGACCTGATTCTATCACTACTTATCCTCTAAGAGGATATTATCTGGTGTTTCCCAAAGATGCCTTTCTATTCTCTGAAGAGCAACAAATTAAGTATTTCCATACACATAGAGTAGTACAACACATCCATGATGAACAGGAGCTGTCCAAAGATGCAAAATTAATGAGGGGTGGAAGCAATGTGTGTTTCTTACTGTGTCTTGGTCTTGCTGTTGTTCCAAGAATGCAGAGAACTCTAACATCCAAAGTTTGGAGCTAGCAACCCTTCGTCCTTGCCAAGCTGGTGCTGATGGGGAAGGTGAGAGGCCAGTAGGAGATTCAAACCCTAAGCACACAGGATTTATATTAAAATAATTTAGAAAAAAATGGCAATGGCTGTCCAGTAGAGCACCTACTGTCAAAGCTGACTCACAATTTTCTTATGGCTTCAATCACCATCACAAAAATATCATTCACAAGGTCCTCAGTCTACCTGTGCTCTAACTGGCTTGCCAGTCACCCTCTGCTAGGACAGCACTACCAGGGGTTATGATGTAAAAGACAAACTACCCAGGTCTGACACCAGAGAAAACATGTTCAGCAATTTTAAGAGCCTAAAGGAGCAGTGAAATAAACTGTTTAGTATCAGAATGATGTATCACCATTAATCTCTCAAAATGGGGAAGCTTGAGAAGGAAAAGACATCTGTTATTCCACTTAATGAGAAATTAGGAACACAATCATGTTATGACAAAGAACAGTGTTCTATAGCATGAAGCATGGTGAAAGACCAGTAGACATGTAAACTTTTATCCTCTGCTGAGCCAAGACCAACACAACCAATATAAAACAGGAAGAAAACAAAATTTACAAGCTTCAACTCTCTCAGTAAAAGGATGAGAACAGGTAATAAGAGGAAATTATATAAAAATTGGTTTTGGCTCTTTGAAATGTTTCAATAGGTTTTGGTTTTTTTTGAATTAACTTTCAAGATTTTTAGAGTGCTGGCTGGTTTCGAAGTTGGAATACAATTTGAAAGGAAGGAAGTACATTTCCTTACCTACCTGGTATTGGAAGTGGAGGCTGTACAGCATAAGGTTGTTGAGAAAAAGGTTTCACGCTACAGAAGTAGACAGAGAGGTGGTTAATAAAAACACAACCAAACAAAAAAATATTCCTCACTGACTGTTTGCACAGATTAGATCAAGTATTTCTCCTCAGAGAGAAAGTGGCCTAAGTGTCTTTTGGAAATTATCTTTCTGTCTGGGCAAGACAAGGGTCATGGGCAAACACTCAGAAAGCAATAAGATTTCCCTGCAGGTGTTCAGCAGGCCCTCCCTCCAGATTTGTTTTTCTGAGATCCCTATCAGCCTCTTAATACACCAGTGCCTATTTGTTTGTCCTTTCCTTTCAACTACAAGTAGTTTTTTATCTATGCAAGTGGATATAGGTCTGGATGCCTCTCAGACGTTCAGGCCCAAATTCAGAGACATTCAACACCCACAAGTAAACACAGCTTTCAGGAGAGCTCAGCTCCATTTTAACACTACTGTAAAAAAAATGAAGGCCTTAGCATTTCACAGGTCTTGTGATAGCTAATGGTGTTCCTCAGGCAGCAGAGAAAGCAGCAGAAGCACCTGCTTTGGATGCTCACATGAAAGAATACTTACTCCTGGGAAGATCCAGCTTGGCCTGGCAATGATCCTTGCCAAAACTGCAAGAGAACAACACATAGGCAGAAGTCACCACTCTTAGGACAGAGATGAAAAGGCTTGCTCTTTTCTGGGTAAACAAACTGCAAACTCACAGATCTTAAAATATATGAATGAGTTCTCTCTTCTTTTTACATTCCTCGTTTCATTCTTGTGGAGATGCTGACTGGTCTATTTTTTTTTTCATTCTAAACACCACTGATATGCAAAACACTGACCCAAAAGTGACCTTTAATGTTAAATATTATGCATGCACCTTGTGCCTCTGTCTCCATAGCTTCTGTGATGCTTACTCTCTTGGAAGGACCATTTTCCCAAGGAAAGTTTCACAGAGTTATTTTGGCAGAAATCAATACTCACCAAATGCTCACTAGGCCCTACTCATAGGCATGGACATGCTGACAGACCTTTCTCTATTAAGGAATTTATGTAAGAGCCATCTGATTTAAGTGCTGAGAAAAAGACTGGGAAATATCAACTTGAAAAACAGCCAGGATGGCCCAAAAAGATTTATTCCAAAAAGATGCTGGACTAAGAAAGTGATATGTAAATCCAAAGGAACTGATTGTTCTTTCCCTTGTATCATTAAAAAAATATACAAAGTAAAACTATTGTTTCACATCAGTGTGAGCAAAGAATTGGTCAAAACTGTTGAAGCCACATGACAGATTTATTCTACAGAGACAACACCTTTTGGCCCATTTTCTGTCTCAGTTCTCAGGATTTTCCTGAGCAGGTCCCAACATCCTTTCAAAAGTCAAGTGTCTTCTCAAAACTCCACCATGACACTGATCCACTCACCCCAGAAACAGCAGGGTAGGCTGGTCGTGGGAGACCAGGCAAGGCCATTTTACTATGGAAGGCAGTTGCAGAGATAATCTGGGCAGATGACATTGTAGCCATACTCTGCATGGCTTTATCTTTAGCTGCCTGATCCTATGAGCAAGAATAGAAAAGACAGGATTATTATAATGATTAACTAGTTGCCAGCTCTAATGGTCTATATCCAGAATTCTCATCAGCTTCTCTGTCAGGAACAAGCATCTCTGAAATTCTGGGCAGCAAATTCACCAATAACTGTCCTAAGAACTCCTTAAAGCTGTAAGCCTTACTATAGCTTCAGATGTGAACAATCATGCTTTCCGAAATGCTGGTTTAAAGACTGATAAGCATTTGTCTTTTCTGTCTGAGGGCTTTCAACCACACAGCTGAAAAGTTTTGTTGTAGAAAGTACACCCCTAGCTGACTCTTGTGTTTTAATAATTGATAAGAATATTCAATGGGATTCTTGATTATAAAAAAAACTCTCTTAGGAAAAGGTCACAAAAAGAGACCATCATAATTACTGCAAAAATGACTACCTCAATTTGGGACTGCATTAGTCTTAGGTAGAATTTATCATTTTATCCCCATCTTTAGGGAAACTTGAAACCTGCATAATCTCCAGGGCACATATGGAGGGACATTCCTTTTGGCATTTTAACAGGACTGTAGATTTACACACATTCTTACAGGCAATGACAGTGCCACAATTAGTGGGTCTGAGTTATGTATAAAACAAACAGCATTCTTAATTTCTTCTTTTAAGGAATAAATAGGCAAACAGAAACACTTCCCCATATTCTGCCTTTCTTCCTACATCCCCTACAATTAATCTTCATATTTCAAACATTCCACATTTATCTGTGTCATTATAATTACCACAGAAAACTCATAATTCATGGCTTGAAGAAACTGCAGAAACAGGTACAACAGCCCTTGCTGTCTTCTTCAGGAATTCTCACTTCCCACCTGCATTCACTGAACTGCAGTAAATTCTCACCCTGGGGCCTCCATTCTTTTTAACCCCTCCAACTTATCTAAGGTTTTCTAAAGTTCAAAGCCCAAATATTCTAATGTGTCTCACCAAAAAAAAAAAACAAAAAAACCACATGTGGAGGAGGCATCCAAAAAGAATCTCAATAATAAATGTTAATGTTCAAGTGGAATGATCACTAGAAATGGGCAAAACTTACACCTCTTCTTTTTTAGAGCATTTCTGACTACTGTTAGTACCATTCAAGTGAATGGAAGGAAAACATTTTAAATGCTGAGAAAGTTCCTAATTTTCTCCAAAGCTATGGGAAATGTTTTCAGAATCCAGTTTAAATTCTGCCTTAGGGAATAACTGAAGGATTACCTACATTTTTAAAGGGAAATTATTATTTTCTGGTTTTTTTCTTAATATATATATAAGGGCTATTTCCCATGTGCCATTGCATTAAAGGATTTTTTTCCTTCCCTTATTTTCTCACTGGAAAAATTGTATTTGTCTACCTCAGTTTATCGGGAAGATGCATTTACTTGTGGAGGCATTAAAAGTTAAAAGAAAATGTAAAATAATTAGGGAAGGAAAGTATGTTACCTATTAACCTTTGCTGTCGTTTCGTTTTGTTTAAATGCTTGACAGACTGCTGGAAGGAGCATGTTTTAAGAAAAGACATCTTTCTGTTTCAGTTCTATACTCATTTTAAGTGTTTTGCAGCATAAAAAGGAAAAAGAAGGAAAAGAAATGGAAAAAAGAAATGACAGAAACTTGGACCAAACATTTGCAATGTTTGTATTTTATTATTCTAAAACACACAATAATGATGATGGCGATTATGATGCTGATTATGATAATGCCACCAGGATTTATGATATTATCACCAGGATTTCCCACTTTTTTCCTTAGTGCAGATGATATCTATTAGCCACCCATGGCATAGAAAAACTAGTGACTTTTGGGGAGAGAGTTTTCTTCATGTTTTACCCTATTTCCCAGCTGTATCTTTTACAGACACAGTGGACATTTAAAAAATGTCCAGTTTGTGAGGAGGTGGAAATATTGTGGTCACTACTCTGAAAAGTCATCATGTAGCTGCTCTGATCGCTAGGGTATAAACACAAAAACGTGCACTTGCTATAGAAAATAAGCAGTGATAAAAGAGCACACAGTTGTCAGCAGGACCTTGGAGGAAGGGCAGCAGCTTCTGTGATTTCATTTCCTTGCTCTATGGAAATAGCCAGCAAAAGCAGAGAAGTAAATGAGTTGAATCAGTGCTCCCGACCTGCCACTGCAGGCGGAAAGGAGCAGCCTGGTCCTGGGGAAGGGTTCTCTGCAGGCAGCTGGGCAGAGCTCACAGCAGGGCCTGGGTGGTATAAAAGGACAGCAGCCAATGGCTCCATGGAGCTCCCCGAGACACCTTCGTTCCCTGAGAACAAAACTGGCCAGCTCCTGTGAGCTAACTGGAAACAGGCTCGGCTGACTGGCTTTTCAATCATGTCCAACCCCAGAGCTGTGACACACAAGGAACAGAATCAAGGTTACAGATGTAAGCAGCAGTGAGGCTTTTAACACCCTGGGCAGTTGTTGTTTCCTGCTCGCTCTAACATGCCTCTCCAGCAGGCCTCCACCTGAACTGATCACTTAACAGCACCACAGGTTTCAAGCTGAGGCAGCTTCACCTGGGTACACTGAATTAGATAGCTGTAATTTGTGCCTCCTTCTCTTTATCAGAGCAGCTGGTAACACAATAGGCTAATAAAAGACACAGCACAGCTTTCTAAAATGGGGCTGGGATGTGGGGGGGTGCAGTTATGGCTTAGAGACAATCACTGCTTGCAATAGAGCTGCACGCACATCAGCACTGCGCAGCTCAGTGCCAAGAGCTCACACGCAGGACAGTCCATCTGCCCTGGTGCCCAGCGAGGAGCTGCCCAGGCAGCCAAGAGAAAGCACATACTAACAACCACCCCTCAGCAGTCAGGGCTGGGCTGTCATGGCTATTGTCACCTGAAGCATGGAAGACCAGGAAAGCAAACTCTCTTCCTTCCAGATTACTTAGGGCCATACCAAACAGAAAGGTCAGCATTCACCTTCCTTCTCTGGCTGTCTCAGTGAAACATAACAAGGGTCAGACCTCACATCCTGCTCAGCAAGCCCTTTCTGGATAGCTCACATTTTAACAGGGGACAGACACCCTCTTCTGCAATTGTCACATACAAACTTGACCTTCTCAACATTTCTGGCAATTCAGTCTGAGCACATAAACCATTTCCCCACATCAAATCCGAGTGGAAATAAATGTCAAGAGGTTCATTAGGGTGATCTTGGAGCTCTTCCTATGGAAAGGAAAACACAGCTTTTCTCAAGCAAATATTCAACCATTTTCTCTTTTTCGTTAGCTCTGGCCTCTTCAAATCAGGCCTGAATTAATTAATCAAGGAGCAAAGTCTATTCAGCTGGCACCATTTTACCTGAAAAGATGCCAGCTGGCTTTATTGCTTCCTCTCAGTGGACAACTCCACATCACCACCTCTAGTAGAGGTGGAGCTGGTGCTCTGATAACTCTAAGGCCACCTTTTCCCAAGGCCACCACCACACCAGCAACTGCTTACTGGTCAGCATTTGTAACCATAAACAATACCTGCTCAGGTAAACACTCTCTGCACACTCCTACGTCTAAGGGTCTTTCAGATTTGAATGACAACAGCATAGACCAGAGGTAGAAATAAGACACATGAAATTTAAAAAGTTATTGTTTCTTTATTCTTTAAATAGAATTGCTACAGACGTCACAGAGCTTCAACAATAATGAATGTTTACACAACATTTCCTGGGAAGAGCCTTTTCCTCTCCAGCTTACTACAGTTCAGTGACTGATCTTAGGCTTTTTAAAGGCTATTCAAAGAGGAAATAGCTGACTTGGGGGGGGGCGCTTGTGTGATATACTAAGCGATATCCATCATACCTTGAGCTTGGCTTGGATCTCTCTAGCCTTCCGCCTTGCCAGGACCTGGATGTGACTAGATACCTGCATTGAAAGACAAAATTCCAGGTTCATTCCAGAGGAATACTTGGTAGCCTCTTGTAGAATTAGGCAGTTATTTAGGGTTGGGGGTAGGAGGGATTGGGGGTAACAATAAGCTGCTTTCCTGAACATAACTCCAGTGCCATGAAACAGGGTAGAGAGCCTGCAAAGATGGGCTATCTAAGGCAGGTCAAGGCTGCTCAGTGCTTTGTCCAGCATAGTGTGGATATTCATGCCCAAATTATAAAGATTCCTTTTTCATCTTGTGTGCCAGGTACTTTCAAAATCATCACTGCTGCCTTATCTGCTTGGGCTGAACAAGGAATGTTCATGCAGAGAACCAGTGGTGCTCCCTGAAACACTCATTAGTAGGCCAAGCAAATAAAATAACAATATTTAACAGCACAAAAATTTGTCACTACATGATTGGCAGACATGAGCATTATAAATCTCCTGTAAAATGCCCAAGCTGACTCTTCCTGCCATTCTTATTAACCAGCTCAGCACAACGACCTCCTTCCAGCAAACTACCAAAAAGTGAACAGCAAGAAATTTGTTCTCATTAGCGCTCATAATCTCTAGAGGTCCAAAGAAGCTAATTCTTCCAGGGAAAACTGCACACTTACCTGTTTCCTTGTGCGTGTTTTCCCTGTTCTCAGCTTAATATAGCGGGCAATCAACTCATTTCGGCCTGGAACAGAGAAATAATGCAATACAAGTTTAGAAAGCAATGACCCCAGCAAAAAAGATAGTTAATTCCATTGTGTATCTACAGAGCAGGATGATTCTGTCACAATATTTTCTTTCTTAGAACGGAACTTAGTAGTGCACAAGGTAGAAGTCTGAGTTTTAGGAGCAGTCTCCTATAACATCCTCATAGACAAACTGACAAAGTTTGGGCTAGATAGTTGGACAAGGTGGCTTGGTAAAAATTGGCTGAATGAAAGGATGGGGTCCTAAGTGACAATGAGCTGACAGTGAGGCAGCAATGCACCCTTATGGCAAATCCCAATTGCCAACAGGTCAAGGGAAGTGATCCTTCAGCTCCACTCAGCACAGCTGAGGCAACATGTGGAGTACTGAGTCCAGTTCAGGCCTCCTCAGCATGAGAAAGGTGTGATCACACTGGAGCAAGTCCAGCAAGAAGTCAGCAAAAATTATTAAGAGACTGGAGCATCTGTCCTATGAAGAGAGGCTGAGAGAGCTGGGTCTGTTCAGTCTAGAGAGGACTCAGGGGCAGTTTTTAATCGATACTAATAAATAAATACCTAATGGGAGGCAATGAAGGGAAAAAGGGAGCTACCCTCCTTTCAACAGCGCCCAGTGACAGAATGAGAAACAACTGACACAAATTAACACATCAAATTCTGTCTAAAAACAATTTAAAAAAATAATTTTAAAAACCCCAACCTTTTTTACTCTAAGGGTGGTTAAACATTTGCACAGGCTACCCAGAGAGACCGTAGTTTCCATCCTTGCAGGATAGCAACAACCTACTGGACAGTGCTTGAGCAGCAGGGCCAGACTAGGCAGTCTGAGATCCCTTCTAACCAAAAGGAGCCTGTCATTTTGTGTAACTGAGTCCAAGAAAATAAACAACAATGGGGAAGCACATGGAAACAGCTACATGTGCTTTCAGGCTCCTGCAGGCAGACTATCCAGCTTTATTACACTGGCTCCCAACATAACACATCTAAGCAGTCACACAGATTTTATTGTCTTTGTGGAGATGGAGGAATTAAGAGCAGAAACAGAAAGGCAAAAATTACATGTCTGAACTCAAAGATGGTTCAAAGCAGAAAACACAACAAAGAAAGAACAGGTTCTGCAAAAATAATACATTTGTGGTGACCACAGTAGTATCAAGACAGCACTGCAATAAAAAGTTGGGAGTAGGAGCTGTGAGGCTGTGAGAAATCTTGATATGGCTGCAAGTGTTTGCAGAATGAAGCAGGAATGAACCAGGAAACAAAGCCACAGCTCTTGGGACATTTTTTTATAACAAAATTATAAAACCCCAGAATTGTCTGTGGAAAGTTTGTGGGCAAAGAACTTGTATATTAGGACACAACAGACATGAAAAGGCAAGCAGTGAAATCAGTATTAACTATTCCAGTAGTTAAATATTCAATGAAAAAGTAGTAACTTTTTTCTATTTTAAACTCTTATTTCACTCAACCCTGAAATAAAGTGAATGCAAGAAAAGACTGCTGAGATTAACCTCTCAACCAGGGAGAAGTTAGGGAAGGACTGGCAAATCCCTTAATTCCACCTGTTTCTGAAACAGAACAATGCAAATGTCCATGGCTGCAGTTAGGCCAGGTTCATGAAACACAACCAATGCACACATAGCAATGGGAAAGCGTTTTACATACAAAGATCTTAATCTTTCCCTAATGGTGTCATTGTAGCAGCACCTCTTATTCCCCTGGGAGAAGAAACAGGTCTGTAGCTGAGAAAGCAGCTCCAGCTCCTGTAAACACAAATTAAGAGCTGTGTCTCTGCCAGAAACACAATACCCTGCCATGTAAGCACTGACCTCTTCAGTTCCCACAGTTTCAGCCTGAGCACAGTGACTGCCTAGGAGAGTTTGGTGGGAGCAGATGCTGTTCTGCCACCTTTCACCTGGCTGCTCTTCCAACCCACATAAACCATTCTCACAAAGCCAAGACCAATTATAGCAACACACATCCACACCACCTTCCTCTACTGCCAACAATAACATTTATGGCTTCTCAAAGCTTCCATCTGTTTAGACATGGATACAAGCTGAAAGGTAAGAAACAACTGAAGTGATTCTTCTCAGACAGATGCTGACATATAAGAAATTTCAGAAGGACTGTTTGACACACATCAGAAATGGGAAATGTGCTGAACAAAACAAGGCACTCAAACCCTATTATCTATAAAGTAAGAAGAAGGAAAATTTTTGTTTTAACAAGAGGACCCTTTGAGAGCCAAGGTGAATGAGTTAATGGAAAAGAGAGGGAAAACTAGCCTTGAGAAGAGGCAGATGTGGAGAATTTCAGGCAAACTTCTAAAGGGCACATATCAGGCTATACTGAAAATTTGAACACGTGAACTCTCCAAACCCTGGCTCAATTATGGATCATCCTTGCAAAACTAATTTCAATGGATTCTCAACCAGATACAATAAATTTTATGGAGCAAATTCATGTGTATAGTGCATCAAATAAAGAAATTATGGAGGCTGAACAGTCTGACAGAACATTATTCTGCTGTAGCAGTAAGGCGCTGCAGGGGTAATCGGTATGATAGGATGCCATGAACAGCTCTGTGCCAGTCACAGTCAATTCCAGCCACCACCAAACTGGATGAAAAAACAATCAATCCATCAAATCCTCAACCAGAAGAGCATAAGATACCTTTGCTCGAATGTATTTTGGAAGGGGCAAGAGCCAGTAGGGACAGGAAACACATGAGGGGACACAAGAGGAACCACAAAAAGAGACATGAGAATGCACAGGAGAAATACAAAATAAGTAAAAAGATGAATATTGAGAAAAGGTGACATGTGACAGGGGACATTCCTGGGGATGTGGCTGGAAAAGTCATCTTGGAAAAAGTTGCTCCATGACAGAAGAACACTTTGAGCACCCATGCCAGAGCAGAGACAACCCTGAAAGGACTGCAGCCCAGTGAAAACACATGCAGAGACGAGAAACAGCTAGAAACAAGGAGCACCAGAGGGGAAACAAAACAAAACAAAATCAAAAAAAAGCAGGAACTGGCAAAAAGAGACTTTTACACAGTGATGCCAATCTTCTGCGTCACCCAACACCTGATCAAACGAATTAAGAGGGACTGAGTGTTAGAGAGAACAAAAGAAGGGAAACAGAGTAGGAAACAGGGAGGAGAGACAATAACTGTAGTCAGGCCTAGGAAACTGGGAGGTATTTCCATAAGTGTGCATTTAACTGTTTGTCTTTGACAACAGCAGCAGCAAAAATTGCTAAGTTCTCTCAGGCCACGCACTTCACCAAAAAAGACTAGTGGGAGGAGAAATTGTCGTACAAATTGCATCTATTGGACACCAGTACAGAAATTCTCTAGGAAGAAACTCTATGTTCTCTACATGAGAGCATTTAATTGGGGATCACAAAAATTTCCATTTTTAGAATTCACTTCCCACTTGCTAATATCTCTCATACAGTCTTCATATTCCAGAAGTATGTCCTCTCACAGTCAGGTTAAAACAGAAAAATGGCAGGTTAATTTAAGCTAATAAAGATACTGGTCGCACAAAAAAAAAAAAAAAAAAAAAAAAAACCACCAACAAACAGACCACTCTACAAAGACATTCATGACAGAGACTACTAAATATAGAACTATGTAAATTGCCCAAGCCCAGTAAAGTGCAACAAGGCAATATTAAATTATCATGAATCAAAACTACAAGAGAAGCAAGTCCTAAATGTCTTTTGTATTTCTTATCAGTAGTTAGATGGGAGCAGGTGTTATGTGGCTGGAAGTCTGTAGGCTCACAGGCTCTGGAAGGCACCTTCTTTCACAACCCTGGCTGCAGGGTCAGCAAACACCAACACTCCCCACTTGGCTGGAACAGGCAGAGCTGTCATAAACTGTCAGATGGTTCATTTTTTAGAGCCTGTAAAGTGTCCCTCAGTAATCTGATCCTATGTTGTGTTCTTAGAATAACTCCCACTGAGGTCTGCCGTGGTCACCAGAACCTGCCAACAGTTGTGACTCCTCTGTCGAAACCACGCATTGGGTTTCACGGAGCTCCAGCCAACATTCCAACCGTGGCACAGCACCTCTCTCCTCCACGGAGCCTTCTCCTGGGAAGCATGGCACCAAAAAAAAAGCAGTCAAGAGATACTGCCTGTGTTCTTTACCTTTCGTTCTTAACAGATACATTTCCAAGGGCAGCAATTTGGCTCCCATTCCATCTTACACTAAATTGCAAAATTTTGCATTCAATAGTTATGCAGAAAGGAATAGCTAAGAGAAGTGAATAAGGAGGCTTTTGGATTCTTCATTCTACACCTGTGCACCTTTGAATATAACTGCAGAAGTGTCTTCCTGTAAGGAAGAGGGAGGGAAAATCAAAGGGAATTCCCATCACCAATGAAAGCATTTTCCATAGAAAGCTGCAAGCTGACTTTCTGTTAGTAAAGGTATATTAATTTTTCTGCCTCTCGTAAGCAGTATCTCTTTAGGACTTACTATTCCTCACACACCTGTTGCCAAAGAAATTAAAATCAAAGAATTCAGTTATCAAAATCCTTCCAGTGGGAAATGGCATGGAAGTGTCTGTTTCTTAGCAGACTCAGTATCTTTCTGCACTTACAACTACCTGTAAGTAGTTCTGTAAGAGAAGCACTATCCAGCTGTATCCAGTGAAAGGTTTATCAAAGCAAGGTCAAGAAAGCCATCTCAACTCTCATTTCAATCTCTTTATGTCACTTACTGATATCTCCTGGGACATGACTATCTCCTTGAATTTATTTAATTAACTGTTGGTTACAATCAGCATAAACACAATGAACTGTGTGCGTCAGACAAATAAATCTAGACTAAAGAGTGAAGGTAAGGACATCTCATCTGTCCGCCAAATGTCAGTGTTTCTCTGTGCATACAAAGCAAAACTGACTGCCAACCAAGTTTTACCAGACAGACACTTTTTAGACAAAAGCAGTGTGGTTGCATAAC